GAGCATTTTGTTGTCCCAATGGTTATGCATTAACTGCAATTTCTAGTATTGTCTTTAGCCTCCTTGTTAGTGTGCCCGTCTCCCATGCCGGAGAGCTGGGTTCGAGACCCACTCGGAGCGAGAATGAGGTGTGGTGGAGAGGACCCGGGAGAGAGGGGTTACATTTACTCAGAAAAAGCCTGCATTTTGAGGCATTTAAGTAATATTGGAAAGTAATCGACTTATTAATTGTCAATCGTGTGTGTGTGTGTGTGTACTGTCAATGATGCAGAACTAGGTGTCTCTATATTTACAGCCTACAGATTTTCTTTCCTAAACAATATGTGTCATGCATGGAAGCAGGGAAAACAGGTCACTGCCATGATTTTAGAGTAGAAAACAGAACAATTTGATGCTGGAAGAAGTCACATAGGCTATTGAGCAGTTGTTCGTGGATGATAGCATTTAGATCTTGGTACAGATTATAAATCTAAATTTGTCATTTAATACTCCTCAGGGCATTTCAAAATGATATCTTACTCTATTGCTCTTGTGATGTGCTAATCATGTAGACCAAATGTCACTGCGCTTTCTCGCCCTGCCCTGATGCATCAAATTGTGCCTTGTGTTCTGTAGACAGCGCCAAACCTCAGTCTCCTCGAGCAACTGGAGAAATGTCACCAAGGGAGTTCCCTCCTCTATCAAGACAAGGAAGAGGCCAGGCAGGCGGGTAGTCTCGGTCAACCCCACACCCCCCCGGGACGCGCGCTGGGGGATCCGATGACGTCACAATCACACTGATCTTTCTCTCCTTCTCCCTCTCTCGCTTTTCTATTCTGGGAAGCGGCGCTAGGAATAACCCCCCCCCAAACTCACTTTCATCTCTTCCTGAAGCAAAGACGCACTAGGCTACATTGTACTCCAACACCTGGCGTCTGCAGAGTTGTCGTTGCGTCACAATTCGAGCTGAACTGATATTTTGTGTCAGTCAGAGCTGAAAGCGACAGTGGCGTTTGACACTCTTTTGGAACGTTGTAGGCGGATTTGAAAACGTTCTACCGGTAAGTTCTAGTCTTGTACACCTTGTTCTTAGAATGCCAGGGAGTGACATTCTTTTGAAAGCGCGATTAAGTGAGAATGAATTGCGGATGGGTCTCCGCCGCTTATTGGGACATGTGGGGAATACCCCGTTTGCCTGGTTGGAGATAGTGAATATTGCGTAATATCCTAAGGAATTTGCACTGCTGGTGCGAAAAGCGACATGAATCGCTATCTTGAGAGCGAATGTCATTAATGTTGAAGGGTCTGTGCTGTTTGTGTTGTTTTTTTTTTTCAGCATGGGTAATGTTGTGATCTGATATTTTCATGTACACACCACACCGCCTGTGCGCGTGTATGTGTGTGAGCAGGAGAGAAGGTGGGTGGGACTTTGGCTCGTTCCGGGAATGTTCCATGACGCGCTCTCAGTCAGTGAAGGGCCCCTTTAGGGAGACTCTCGACACGCGATTGTTGCTCAAGTCAGATGGCACCTGCTATAAAGTGACCATGCAGTGATAGGATGGAACAATTATGTATGTTTTTTTTAAATGTGGCAACATAAAAATACATACAAAAGAATGTTAATGTATTAATATTACATTTTTTACAACTTTCCAAATTGACAGCTCTAATACTGTATTTCAGCCATTTGTTATTTTTTATGCAAAACAGATGAATTTAACAACCAGCAGTTACATGTTAAAGCTTAGTTGGAGGCTATACTATTATTATAGATAAATAATAATGAAGTATACCGAAATTGTAGGTCTTATATAGCTTTGCAGTGGACATTTCTAAAATATACAATAGCCGGGTTTGCATCCAAAGCTGCGAATTTAACTTATGCGCAAAAATGGAATATCGCATAAAACATTGCAAACAAGCATCGTTTCCATCCAACAAGTCAAAGAGAACAAAATTGCAAATTCCTGATAAACAGGCACTATAAATCACTAAGAAAAGTAGGAGAATATAATAATTTTCATATATAATAAATTACTTGCGCCTCAGAGCGAGCAGACGAAACAATGAATGCGGTCATTGCTTTCGGAGGTGGATGCTGCTGTTTGGGAACGCAGTCGTGTTAGACATTTCTGGGAGGCAATTATACAGAAATACTTTGATGACATACTTTGCTCGTGCATTTCCAAATGACCATAACAACATTTCAGATGCTGTGTATTGAGATCGGTCCGCTGGTTAGTCAGCTTTTGCTGTCCCATAGCGCAAAGTCACATGATTTTTTGATGCGCTTGGAGGAATTTATTCGCAAAATGCATTTCCCTCTCCCATTATTCGCATCAACCCTTTTTTGCACAAGTCAAAAACCACCTCAAGCGTGCGTAAAAACTTTTTTTATAATAAATTACTTGCGCCTCAGAGCGAGCAGACGAAACAATGAATGCGGTCATTGCTTTCGGAGGTGGATGCTGCTGTTTGGGAACGCAGTCGTTAAAGACATTTTTGGGAGGCAATTATACATAAAACTTTGAGAGGCTTTGCTCGTGCATTTCCAAATGACCATAACAACATTTCAGATGCTGTGGGATGAGATCGGTCCGCTGGTTAGTCAGCTTTTGCTGTCCCATAGCGCAAAGTCACATGATTTTTTGATGCGCTTGGAGGAATTTATTCGCAAAATGCATTTCCCTCTCCCATTATTCGCATCAACCCTTTTTTGCACAAGTCAAAAACCACCTCAAGCGTGCGTAAAAACTTTTTTGCGAATTAAGGGATTTTTATTCAAAATTTTTGCATTTCCCATGCCATAGCCACTTCAAAATGCGCATTAAAATAGGGTGATGGAAACATAGCTAATGATTTTCTTTTTTTAGGGAGCAGCTTTTTGCTGTAATGTTTTATATTGATGTAATTTTGTGAACCACAATCTTTTTGTCATTTACCTTTATGCAGACACTTTCATCCAATGCGACTTACATTGCATTCAAGGTACACATTACATTTTTTTTTTCCAGTTCTTGCTTTCGCTGGAAATCACACCCATTACCTTGGTGTGGCTGGCACCATGCTCTACTGTTTGAGCTACAGGAGAGCCTTTTTGTGAAAAACGTTTACTGTTCTGTTCTTCCATGATTAATATAAGATACTATATATTGTACATCCGTTAGGAATGGGCAGTAGGGTTATGTAACAAGCAAGCGCACCAGCAGAGACAGGGCCAAGGGTGTAGCCAAGTATTTACAACCCATCAGGCAAATTAGTTTATTTGACTATGCCAAATACATGAGCCAGTGCCCTTTGCACTGGCTTGATATATATGTCCAGTGCAATGCATAAACACACCCACCATATCTCTTCCAGACACTGACATATGATACATAAACATCATTTTGTTTTCCATCACCTGGGTTCTATCCATCAAGAAGCAACAGACAGAGTTGGAGGTTTGACAAATGTCCTTACACATTTTTTCCACAACAGAATCAATCACATTGATTCCGTGTTGAGCTTTGACACATCTAGGCTTTCTGGCAATTTATTTGTAATTGTTTCTGATGGAAAGTCGATTTTAAAGGTAAACTGACCCACCTTATGTTCTCACTTTAAACACACACACACACATATATGATTCACCTCTCGAAATGACTTTCATTCAGTAATGCCAACATAAACAAATGGGTTCCTGGAATTAGGGAAGCATATTCAAAGGCTTCACATTCTTAAGTGCCACTTTGATGGGAATTTCAACAAGCTTTCTTTGTGACAGCACAAATTTAGGAAGGCAAAGGTCACTCTACAGCACTTAGTCAAACCACACTGTCATTGGTTAAAGAAGGCACTGGCTCCAAGTCTTTAGAGCTCATGCCATTTTAATTGGATCAAGGTCTCCGCTGCATCTTTTCTTTCAAAATTGTAAATAAAGATTATTTGCGTACATTTGACAAAAAAATACTATATCGGTCTTTCTACTTAAAAATTTCATGTTCAATTGTCAGTTACTTTGTAAATATTTGTGAAGTTTACTAGCAACTTCTGAGTGATAATTGCTTCTACACCTAATTTTGTAACAATTTTGAAATTACAATTATGCATTTAGCATATGCCTTCATCCAAAGCAGCTTTTGCATTCAAGGTATACATTTAATCGCTTGAATCCATGACCTTGGGGTTAGTTGCTAGCGGCATGCTTTGCTGTTTGGTACAGGAAAACTGACATGCACCAGTTGTGGTTAAATGCTAAATTGTGCAGTGGGTGACTGTTGTTTTTGTGTGCATGATGAGGGGAAGGATTTGTTCTCATGGTGCTGGTATGGAAGGAAACAGTTGAGGCGTATCACCGCTTAAACAGTGTGACAGAATGGATGCCAGCATCTGGGTTGTGCTTTTCCACCTGTTGCTTCAGGTTACATAATTGGATTTCTGCTCGAGAATACAAGATTTAGGAGGAAGATACGATCTGGAGTAGCCACATACTTGGGGCCGATTCCTTGCTGAAGACAATCAGAGATGAGCGATTGGCGGAGGTGCTTCTTTTAATGTGGTCTTAATGTTCTCATAACATTTTATACAGCAATACTTACTATTTCACAGCAGTAATAAAACTAGCTCTCTCACTCACAACTCTGTTAAATTTAATCCGGTGTAGATCCTGGGAGGAATCTGCATGTGTGTGTTGTAATCCTGAGGCCGTCTTGAAAGTGTCAAGATGAGCCGGCGTCTGTGTTGACACCCCGCCAGAGTGCGAATGCTGCGCATGACGTCCTCGCTCGCTCGCTTCAGCGGCACAACAGGAAATACTCACGGCCTCCCCTCCTTCCTGCTTTGAAAAAGAGGTAGTCTCTTGCTCGCACTCGCTCTCCTGCCCTTCTTTTCTTTCGTTTTCTGCAGCAGCAGGGCAAGGCGAGACCTATTTTAATGCCTGCAGCCATCGCCGTGGCTGACGCCTCCTTCGGACCATCCGGCCAATCAGAGAGCAGCTGCTTACGCCGAAGAAACATGATAGTTTTTTCACTCTTTTGCTCCTTTCTCTGAGCAAGTGAAGGTAGCAGGAGTGGGAGCAACCAAAAGAAAGAGTGTGCGGGAGGGAGGAGGGAGAGATAGAGAGAGAGAGAGAGAGAGTGAGAGAGAAGGCTGCAGACAGCGGTAGGGAAATAGCTTCTCGCAGAGAACGTGAGTGAATGGTGATTGTACAGGCTTGTGCGACTGCCACAGCAGAGAGGAAAGAGGTTTGAGCCCCTGAGGATCTGAAGGATGCCATGTCAGGTGAGCAACTGACCCCGGCAGGGAGAGATAGTGGAGGAGCGGTGAAAAAGAATGAGAATGAAAGTAAAGAAATGCTGGTTGTGCCGTGGCTTGTGGTTTCTTGCTGCTTTGCTGCTTGTTTTTAAGTCCTATATGGAGTCAGGCTGAAGTGACAGCTGGTTAACGGGCATTGACAGGGGATCTGACTCATGCTGGACACATTTTGCACAAGTTCAATAGCTTACGGGAACAAGTTTTTTAACCCACCGACATACCTTTGCTGATAATGTGTAGTGATTAAATGCAGATACCTTGTCCGATTATAGATAACTTGTGCACTAGATGACTTGGCATATTGAACACTGCTGTAAATTTTTTGTTGGTGCGTGTGTGCTTTAATAAAACCAGTGTTGCATGCACTAATGACATTATCTTTTCTCTTTCTGAACAGGGTGTGTGAGGAGGGTGTGTACCTGGATTAGATTCCCGGGACCATCAGGACAAGAAAACCAAACACTGGGTACAGTATGTGTTTGAGATACATTGTGCCAAAATTAGTACAGGTGTTTATGCTTTGCTTGTAGCTGCGTCAATCAGAAGTTACTGTGTGTTTGGTAAAGCATCTCCAGAAACATTTGCGCAAGGGTGTGTTACTCGAAACCTATCGCGCTTTTTTTAAACTGCAGTTTCCGAGCTTTGTTAATAGGGCTGAATAATTAATGAGCAGGTAATTGAGTTGGGCTAATTATTCATTATAAGAATGATGAATATCATCGCCGATTTGGGAAGTATTTCTCGCCTCTCATTATTTTCAGTCGCTTTTGATGAACTTGCAGTCAACTTTGTTCAGGGTTGAGTTTGAGATAACAAAGAGAACGAATATGTGGGACTGGAATCGAAAAGAGGAACTGAAAATAGTAAAAGTAGAACGAGGTTTCGAATCTATTTTAGAATACAGTCATCTTCAGTGCATGCATTGTTTTGGTGGTAGGCCTGATGTACTGTATATGTTCTGTTGTGTGCCACTCTTTTTGTAGGCTAGACCTCTTCTGTTTTTCTTTCTTTCAGTCTACCTCGACCATATGCTCAGGATACAAAGAGCTGTTTGTGACTGTACATAGTTTGCACCGTAAAAATAGACGTATAAAACGTTGATAACCATCAGGCACCACACAAGCCTGCCAGTGGATCAACAAAATTGAGGGACCAACTACACTGAGCAAATTGTATTTATGATTCAGGGTGTGGTGCCGCTGTCTGTTATGGTGTGTGTTTTGTCAATGTGGAGCTCGGTGGTTAGCACTGGGCCGTAGGTAGAGTGTGAACTGTTGTGTCTGTCTGGACTAGAGTATTGTGGGTGGCAAATGTTGATCCATGCCTGAAGCAGTCCGGTGATGTAACCACAGTTTGCTCGGGGTGATTAAACAGGCAAGTCATTTAACTTTTCTGTTTGTGTTTAGTCTGTAAAGTTCAGGTAATGTTGAGCAACACATTTTTATATTTTGCTTTTCGATGTGGAAGGCTGAGAGGGATTGTCGTGCCGATGTGTATCACAGTGGGTCAAATGGCATTTGATTGCTCTTGACTCCAATTGGCTAGGAGTGTTGTGATGCTCTTTGCTGATTTGAGGTGACAGGAAAGTGCCTTCTGGTTATCATACGCTGTGCTAATTGGAAAAACATGCGGCCCCTGGAAGAAAGGCAGCTGTACGACAGTGAGCTGTAGGTTGCCCTCTTCTGAGTGGCATGCATTTGCCCTTGTTTACCTCAGGGAGCTTGAGCGTGGTGGGCATGGAGAGGTCAAAAGGTCATGCTGTCAGTCTTCTTGATGCAAGGGCTGAGTTATAAGTGGGTCAAAACGACAAGGATAATGACAGGAACTTGAGTAAGGGTGCTTCGAGTATGGAAAATAGTTTCACATTTGGACTAAAGTCAGTATTTGGATTTATGCTGTATAATGCGATCTTCTGAAGTGAATTATCATGCCAAATAATATGGAACCTGAAGATTGGTGTGCTGAGTATGGGTAAATATCGATGCATATCTCCCGATTCGAAGCTGCTTGATTTAATTCTGATTCAGATTCACTTGAGTATATTTAACTGAAAACGAAAGAAACTCTCTCTTTGCTAATGCTGTTAATTATACAGGGCAGTGTTTCAGATGGATTCAACTCATCACTGAAGAACCAGGTCAAAAGGATCATTTATTTTTGGAATCAGACTACATTGCTCATGCTGTATGTTTTTGATTCACTAAAAAGTACTGGCTTATAACAATCAGAATAACTAGTTACACTGTATATTTTTGATTCACTGATTTAATTCACTAAAAATCAGCAGCTCAAGAGTCATTTGTTCATTAATCGGTCTACACTGGTCAGTGCACACCGTACGTCACATTTTTTGTCAAATTTTTTGTCTCTGCCATCTAAATTTTAACAGATTTTTCAGCCATTATTATCAGCATTGTCAGCGTTTGCATTTTTTGTGCGTGTTACTAAAATGACTTTTGGTTGAGTAAATAATGCTGAGGCATTTTGAAAAATATTTTCAAACATTCTTTCGAAATGACATTCTTGTGACGTTAGTGCCCATGAATACCAGTTGAACTTTTGACCAGCATGAGCATGCTCAACAGTCCAGTATTGACAAGTCAGCCATTATGACTAATACTTACAGGCAATCTGTGCACCTGCTAGTGTTTTTCAGCTCAGTGTGGCAATGGAGGATTTTTGTTATGGATTACTGGTCAGAAAATGGTCGCGGTCAGGGCATCGCCTGACCTGTGTGTGTATATGTAGGTGTTTGTCCCTATAGTGCATGACACTTTTCACCCTATTAAGGGGCTGTCAGGTCAGGCATCTTCCATCCAAGGCAAAAAGGTCAGAGCTGGCAATGCAGTGACCACAGTTCTCTGGAGAGAGATGTGCTTCCTGCCTTACAGCTCTTTAATGTTTAAAGTCTACAATTAGTCTGGGACTTAAAACCCTGATTGTAGCCAACTTGCAGCGCATGCTGTTTGAAATCTGTCTGAATGGTCATCAGGTGCACATTCTGCCCCAAATATATAGAAAGCAATGAACAACTGAATGAAATTGTACAAGGAGAGTAAGGGATTGAACTATTTGACTCCTTTTCATCTTGTTTTTCTGTACAAGTCATGGCTAAAACATCCGCAAGCTCTTCTTGCTTGAAATGTTGGCAAGTAGCTGTGTAAAGCTAAAGTGCATGCAACGTGACTGCAAACATTAAAGTCTGTGTCTTTTAAGACATATTCTGGTTTCAGACAAATAACAACAAATAACAAATAATGTTGATTTTTTATTTTTTTTTATTAAAAACTAAAAACAAAAATCAATGTTACAGAGGATGCAAATTTTGGAGGATCTGAAATCAATATCATTACAATTAGTCTGGGACTTAAAACCCTGATTGTAGCCAACTTGCAGCGCATGCTGTTTGAAATCTGTCTGAATGGTCATCAGGTGCACATTCTGCCCCAAATATATAGAAAGCAATGAACAACTGAATGAAATTGTACAAGGAGAGTAAGGGATTGAACTATTTGACTCCTTTTCATCTTGTTTTTCTGTACAAGTCATGGCTAAAACATCCGCAAGCTCTTCTTGCTTGAAATGTTGGCAAGTAGCTGTGTAAAGCTAAAGTGCATGCAACGTGACTGCAAACATTAAAGTCTGTGTCTTTTAAGACATATTCTGGTTTCAGACAAATAACAACAAATAACAAATAATGTTGATTTTTTTTATTTTTTTTTATTAAAAACTAAAAACAAAAATCAATGTTACAGAGGATGCAAATTTTGGAGGATCTGAAATCAATATCATTAAAAAAAACATTCTAGAATTCTATTTTATTTGAGCTGTGAAGTTGTTCTCATAATTTTTACATGGTAAGTTTGATTTGACTTCACACTGTAGAAAATTAGTAAGTGATTATTATAATTTTTTAGAACATTAAAATCACATTGATTTGCATGTTGTTTATGTCTTTTGAGTAAACTTTTGAAACAAGTGAGGATTTTCAGGTTTATTGACTGGCCCTATTCACTTTCAAATAAGGCTGCATGATTTGCAGGAAAAAAAGTTGTAATAATAATAATAATAATTTTTATTTTAGTGAAATTACAATAGTAATATTTTCTACTTTGTTTTTGTTCAATATTTTTAAATAAATATTTTGTTCATAATAATAATAATAACAATGATCTTTATTTTACAGTGAAATTACAATAGTAATATTTCCTACATTGTTAGTCTTACAGTGTGCCCTATGAAAGTCAGTCTTACAGTTTGCACTATGAAACAAACTCCATCGCTTAGACATAGTGTGTAGGTAGTACAACATAATTTACCCAAATGCAGTGCCTGTTTACAGTTCCTTTATGCCATCTGATATCACTTAAATCTTTCCTTGATACATTTAGTCGTCCATTAGCCCTTAAGTGGAGGAGGCGGTCTAGTATGAGCGATCGACTTAGTAAAACACACGGCGCAGCAAAAACACCATGCATGATGATTATATGAATTTTTCCCTGTCAGCAGTTGCGTGTATCATGCTAATGGAGGATCTCGCACATCAGAAGAGCGTGACCTCCCTGATATATAATGCTGAGATGACTGCTTATGATCTGAACTGCTGCAGGGGTTCCAGGTCGCGCAGACGACTCGAGGTTGAGGGAAACGAGAGCTATCGGTCAGCCAAGAGCTTTTATATGAACCCCGCTGAAGAAGACAATGCACAAAAGCCCCCTAAAGCAGCAACACATACTCTGTTACTATGGAAACCTATCAGAACTGTGCTTTGTCCTTGACGGAATCAGATGGATAGAGAAGCTGTATTAGTGGAGCTTAGAAGAGAGAGAAACAGACAGAGCAAAAAGAATAAAAGCAGGAAGCAGCATGTGTGAGGATGAATGGAGATACAGTACGTCTGCCTTCGAGTGAATTTCAACACGACGGGAGACTCTTGACCCTCAACCCTTGCTCTGATTGATCTGTCTGTATCGATTCAGTACATTAAGAATTTATTATGCCGCTAGACATGTCACTAGATTACATGAGCTCGTTGCTGACTAATTAGGTAACAGCAAAAAAGACAACAGTGTATTGGGTCAGAGAAACAAAGGTTCCTCGCACACATACACACATAAAGAATGAAGCACATAGCGCACAGGGACCAAAACTAGTCTCATCTTTCCCAAGCAGAACAATAGTATGTGCAGGTGTTTCATCTGATCAGAAATAGAGCACCCACCCACACACATACAGTTATACAAAGACACACGGAAACACGTACGTATGCACCAACGAGCACACACATACATTCTCATTCACCTAAACCGTTTACGAGCAACCACGCATGCAGCGCACCTTTCTCTAACAAACAATGCTACGTTAGATACACTGTCTGTGGGTCGGAAAATAAGTTAACGGAGTTGTTACACAAAAATGAAAACTCTGTCATCATTTACTCACCCTCTTGTAGTTCCAAACCTAGAT